TGCCCCGCGTCCCACCCGTGCCCCTGTCCCACCCGTGCCCCTGCCCCCGCAGCTGGGCCTTCCTGGAGGTGACCACCAACGCCTCGTACAGCGACAGCCTGCAGGCCTACGCCGCCGGGCTCGCTGAGGCCGCTGTCTCCGAGCAGGTAAGGGGGGACCCCTCTGAAATCGGGGTCCCGAGGGGCACGATGCGGTCTCTCCCCTCCCCCCCAGGCTGACCCCACGGGTGACATGGCCGCCGTGTCCCCCAGCTGATGTACATGCACTGGATGAACACCATGGTGGGCTACTGCGGCCCCTTCAAGTACGAGAGCCAGTACTGCGAGAAGCTGCGGAGCTACCTCGAGGCCAACCTGGGCTGGATGGAGGAGCAGATGGGGAAGGGAGAGGACCCCGAGTACTGGCACCAGGTGAGGATGGGGTACCCCCACCCAGGGTGAGCCCCCTCCTGCATCCCCTGGGGCTAACTGGGGCTTTAATCGAGAGGAGGGGACAGGGCAGCAAGGGGTGCCCAAGGTCATGGCTGGGCTCCAGCTGGGATGACGGAGATCTGGCCGTCGTGGATCCTCTTCCCCTGGGTGAGCAGAGGCGACTCGTGACTTTGTCCCTGCCAGAGCCTCACGTGCTGCTGTTGGGGTGTGCAGCCCCCCCGGCCGCCGGTGCTGAGTCACGGCCCTGCTGATGGCACCGCTTCCCCCCATGCCTCCTCCTGCCTCTGCAACAGCACTGGGACCCACTGAATCTGCTGCGTCCCCCAGGAGAAGGGGGGACCCCGTCCCCCTGAAACCCCTCACTCCTCTTCCCTGCGGGAGCCGGGTACCAGCTCTGTCCCCTGTCCCCGCAGGTGCGCCTGGCTCTGCTGCAGCTGAAGGGGCTGGAGGACAGCTACAACGGGCGCCTGGACTTCCCTCGGGGCAGGTTCACCCTGTCACCCTTTGGCTTCCTGTAAGCTCCTTCTTCGAGGTGATGGGGACCGGGGGGGTGGCTGCCCCAGGGGCTGGGGGTCTGCTGGGGGGTGCTGCGGGGACAATTCCTGGATGTCGAGGGACACCCAGTTCTGTTCCCACTCCCCCTCACCCACATTTTGTGGGTGCTTGTCCGCTGCTGCTGGGGCAGGAGTGAGCTTAAGCAGCTTCTCCTCCTCCCCAGTACCATGGGCTGGGTGGTGGGTGCCCCTGACGGGCCTGCTGCAGCCCCCTGCCTCAGTTTTCCCACTGCTGTGCTCACCCTTCCCTCCCTGCAGAGGCTGCTGGGGTGCTAGTGCCTGCACCGGGATGGGATGGAGAAGCACCCTCCAGCCCAGACAGATGGACAGAGAGCTCTGAGCCAGCTCAGCTCCTGGGCCAGGCTGTGTCAGATACCCTGTGTCTTGCTTCCCCCCAGCCTGCTGCAGTTGGGGGGT